ATAGACAAAAAAATGAGGGTCAATTTCGAAAATTAGTCATAAAAATAGATTTTTCCGGCTATAGACATACATTCCGCGGAGCACCCTCCGGTGACCTCTACGGAATGACGTCATCTCCACGGACCACCAAAAAGTCTGATTTTTTAATGTTTAAAAGATTGTTCCACGTAGGCCCTCTGCGGATACATTAACACCTCCGCGGAGTGATTTGTTTGGCGTTCATAAATTCCTCCGCGGAGAAGGTGACGAGGAGCTCCGCGGAGAGATTAATGTCTCCGCGGAATGGGTGGTTGCAACGCATTTTAGACGGTTTTTTTGATACAAAGTGTTCTTTTTCATTTTTTTTAGCTCCATTTGGTCGATTATCTATACAATAGATCAGTTCTTTTTCATTTCATTTTCAAAAAAAAAATATGAGTTTTTTTATTTTATGTATTGGGGGTTTTTGGCAGATAAGTAATGGGATTAACACCTACGTTAGACCAAAGTTTAACAACTTAGGTTTACTGCTTCCGCCAAATTTTGATCGTCGAATATTGTTTGATTTGGTCAAAAGTAAGGCTGATGTGTTCAATAGTAATATATCATTGTCATTTCAACACCCGGTTCATTGGTATGTTATGAATATTTTAGACGAAGCAGATGTTCATCAACTCAGAAATGTAATTTCTGAAACGAAGGAGATTGTGCATTTGTATTTAGAGGTGTTTCAGGGATTGGTCGAACAGACAGAAGCGGTTGACAAGATTGTACCATACAATGTTGAAAACGTTGTATCTGATAATGTTGAAGAGTGTCCACAAGAAGAAACTGTGGCAGTGAATATGGTTGAAGAAAAAAATTTATATGAGTTTGGAAGATTGACTGAAAAAACTTTGTCAGACGGTGAAGAGTCAAATGAAGGATGGTCAGAAGATGAGTTCACACATGGGAAAAAAGCTTCAGACATATTTTACGGTATGCCTCCCATACCTGATTGTCCTGATCCTATTGTTGAACCCGGACCATTTCATAGTTTAGGTCCAAATGATGATATGTTTGTTTGTCAAACATATGATAACAAACAACAACTAATATTTGCTTTGAGTCTTAAAGCAACCAGAGAAAAGTTTCAGTTTAAGACCAAACATTCTAACAAAAATCGTTATGAGGTATATTGTGAAATTGAAAACTGTAGTTGGCGTTTATGTGCAAAACGCCTTGATCCCACTGATGAATTTGAAATCAGGACTTTGAACAACATGCACACATGTTCGTCATTACAGATACACCCTAATCATAAGCATGCTAATAAAAACGTCATGGGTACTATATTGCATGAGATTATGGGAAAAACTCGTTCCAAGGTTTGGAGGCCTAATGAAATATCAAGGGATTTGAATGCTTTGCTGGAAATCAATGTAGATTACAAACAAGCTTGGCGTGCAAAACAATATGCTATGGAACTGTTGTTGGGATCCTCTGAAGAATGTTTTTCCAAACTTCCTATTTATTTTCACAATTTGAAGAGGCATAATCCCGGTACAGTGGCCTATATTCAAACAAATTTTGAATATTGTTTCGAGTGTTGTTTTTATGCCATTGGGAGCACGGTAAATACAAAAAACTTGTTTTTATTTAATATGTAATTGTTTTAAAAAAATTATAGAGTGTTTATGTGTTCCATTTTAATATATTGCAGATACGAGCGTTCAAACGTTTTTGTCGTAAAGTTATAATTATGGATGGTGCCCATTTGAATGGTGATTTTAAGGGAACCATATTGCATGCAGTAGCTATGGATGGGAACAACCAGATACTGCCCCTTGCGTACATAATATGCAAAAAAGAGAGTGGTCTTACTTGGACATGGTTTCTTGAAAAGTTGTATGAATGCGTTGGTGATTGTCAAGAATTGACTTGAGGGCCGATGCAATTCGGGTTAGTATTGAAAATGTTTTCCCACATGCTCATCATGGCTTGTGTGCTTTTCATCTACTAGGAAACATAGTACATAGATTTGGGAAAAATTATAAAACAAAAGTGTTGTTTTGGAGGCTTGTGAAAGCTTACAAAAGAAATGTTTTTGAAGTATTGTGGTATAGATTTAGTTCTACTAGGCCGCAAGTAGCAGCGTATCTAAGTGAAATTCACCGTGCTAAATGGACTAGAGCATATTCGCTGTCGAAACGGTACGATTACATGACCTCGAACAGTGCAGAGTCCATGAATGATTTATATGTAGATGCAAGGAAGATGCCTATAATACCCCTTCTTGAGTTCTTCCGTCGTCTTTCACAGGAATGGTGTAACAAGCGTCGCATCGAAGGAGGTATGAATTTAATTTGGACTTTAATTAGGTCGAATAATAAGTTAATTATATATATCTTCTTTACAGGGAAACGTTCAACAGTGCTAACCGAGTGGGCTGAAAAAGTAGTTAGTAAAAATGAAGAGCGTACGACAGGATGGTCCGTTTCTGGTGTTTCAGATGCAATATATCAAGTGCATGATTTCAAACATGGTGGCATAGTTGATATGAGGCAAGAGACTTGTACATGCAAATATTGGGAAAGAACTGGGTTGACTTGTGGTGATGTCATAATGGTCTTGAAGCACTTGAAAAAAACTAACTTCGGACATCTGGCTATAGATGCTTACAAAATGGAAACGTACCTAAGTACGTATGAGGAGCCGGTTTACCCCCTTCCATAACCGTCAAGCTGGTAGACCGATAATGGATACACGTCAAGCTGTCATATATGGTTGTTAAACCCCCGATAATGGATACACGTCAAGCTGGTAGACCGAGAAATAGAAATTGTATCCCGTCACAAGGTGAGGAACCTATAGTAAGAAGGTGTAGTAGATGTGATAGTACAACACATAATGCAGTGACTTGTCCGACATTGGTCCCAAAGAAACAAAAAAAGGCTACAAAAAGTAGTGCGGCATCAGGTAGTAACACAAAAGGGAAAGGGAAAGGGACACAAGGTACTCATGCGACACTAGAGACGCACGGGACACAAGAGACGCGTTGGATGAGTGGGACGTAGGGAGAAGACTATTGTTCAACGTTTGATTTGAATGATTGATGTTGTATTTATAATTAATTATGTTTTGTTTTAGAAGACATTAATTTGTGTACTTTGAAATGGTGTGTTTATTTTAAAGATGATGGGTAATATTATGATTATATTAGTGCATCATTACTAGTAGAGTAATAACTAAAACTCGAAACTAATACATACAACAAACCAAAAACATATAATAAACGTACTTCGGTGGAAGCGCGTATTTTGTCGGCTATATTTTTACAACAATAGCCATGATATGAATCAGGGTAGACTCTTTGAACTGCAAAGTCTATGGAATCAGACATATGGCTTATGAAACCAACTTCTGTATTATCACCTAAACATTCTTTAAGCCTCCTCATGAACCATAACCATGAATCGTCACAGTTTATGGTTCCCAAAGCAAAAGCTATGAGAAGGGGTTCATGATTTTCATCTAAAGCAACCGCAATGTACATGGATGTTACGTACGTCCCAATTAGAGGTACATGATCAACGAATATGATTGGTATCATAGACGTGAGAAACGTACGAATCTGCAAGTGAAGATAAGAATGTTAGCTATATAACAACTTCAGATAATTAAATATTTACTATAAGGGATTACATACCACGCATCCCAATGCCACAAAACAAATTTTGAAACGATTGTACTGATCTTTCGTAATGTACGTGAAGGTGTTAGGATTGGTTCTTTGCAGATTATGGAAAAAACTTGGTAGGGTGGAGAAACTTTTTCTTAATACCTGATTGACTGAACTCATCTTCACAACTTTCTCTACCTTTGTAAAAATACCGCATAACCTATCTTTTTATATATAGTAAACCTTGTCAGTAAAAATACCGCATAACCTATCTTTTTATATATAGTAAACCTTGTCAGTTCGCGTTACTGACTTGTCAGTCCACGTTATTGACTTGTCGGTCCGCGTTACCTATCTTTTTATATAAAGTAAACCTTGTCAGTCCGCATTACTGACTTGTCAGTCCGCATAACCTATCTTGTTTATGTTGTTTAAATGTATGGTTTCGTAACATTTGTTGATGAATTATGTTTCAAAAAATAAAGGATAAAAACCATATTACATATAAATAAAGCAATACAACCACAATACAAAACGCAGTACTAGTTAAAAATACGGGACATTTTTCAAAAGATTCCAAGGGGCTTCAAACTCGAAACTCTGTCCGTTGCTAATTGATTTGTATTCTTCTTTAGCCGCCTCCAAGATGTCTTCCTCAGTATCATTCACACGATCATCTTCAATTTTGTTATAAAGATCATTGAATAACACAACTTCTGTTTTCAATTCATACCATTTTGCTGCTATATCAAGCGTGCTGCGATGGTTTTCTATGGTGGTTTCAGCATCGGTGTTGAAGGTATTGGTTAATAGGAGCCAAAACATTCTATCCTCCAAACTGCTGTTCTCGTTAACATTAATATATACACGAGTTAGAAGCAAATACTCGTTAGCGGTCCATGGGTTTGAACCCATTGTAAAAGATACAAATTAGATGAACTAAAACAAATTAGATGAAGTGATACACAGTTTTGAGTCATTTTATATAGACATGACAGTCCGCATAACTGACTTGTCAGTCCGCAGAGCTGTTTGTCAGTCCGCAGAGCGAATGGTCAGTCCGCGTTACTGACTTGTCATTCCACGTTACTGACTTGTCAGTCCGCATAAGTGAGTTGACAGACCTCATAACTGACTTCACAGTCCGCATAACTGACTTGTCAGTCCGCAGAGCTGTTTGTCAGTCCGTGTTATTGAATCGTCAGTCGGCGTTACTGACTTGTCATTCCACGTTACTGACTTGTCAGTCCGCATAAGTGAGTTGACAGACCTCATAACTGACTTCACAGTCCACATAACTGACTTGTCAGTCCGCAGAGCTGTTTGTCAGTCCGCAAAGCGAATGGTCAGTCCGCGTTGTGAAGTAACTCATCTAGCTCTTCGATTATACTATCCCCAAAACTTTTGAATTCTCCACCAGTTAAGTATGTTGTGAAGTAATTCATACATCGTGTTGAGTCATAAATGTGTACTTTGCAAATATCTAAATGTAGCACTGCCAAAAACCAATGGGCATGAGGAACGTTTATGGGGAATAGAACCTACAAACAATTTTTTTTAATAGTCATTAATTCAGTTCCTATATAAATAAAATAATTAATAAACTTAACTAACCATATACACATCCTTCCATTTAGGATGGCCTCCGACACCATTTGCTATATTCCTAAGAAAATATGTTTTTCCGTTTTGCAAATTAAGTTCTTGAGGGAATATCGTCCACCTTGCGTTCGCCGACCGTCTTTCCATGAGCAAGGCACTCCATATCGCAATATGTTGTACATTTTAAGATAAAAATGTTACAGTTTTTTATATAAATTATCGTCTAAAAATGTAATTAAAAATTATCTTTAACGAATATTACCGAAGAAATTAACCACCCAGCGTCAGTAACTGCAAGTAACCTCGACCAAAACTCCACATCCAGTGTGAGCATATGCAGCCTATGTTTAGTGTTTAGGTTGGAAGAGATCGTATTCCATTCTCTCCAAAACTTAACGTACTGGCAGCTTCAACATTGTCGAGCAGGAGATAATTTGAAACATCATTACTCTCTTCATTCACAATGTCTTCATTTGCTTTTTCAGGACTCTTCACTACTTTTTTTTCTTTGCTTTGGTGATTTTCTTCAATTTTGGTGTGGATTGCAACTAAAAAATTAACATGTTAAATAATTATCAATACGTTAATATTTTAAAAATATACCAAATTTAAAATATGAGTTTTGTACCATTGTGAACGGAGTCCGCTGATACCATGGAACACCCCTCTTTCGTTGCGGCCTAACAATATGAGTCATTTCTTTTGTGTGATGTTCACCTACGTCCGATGAGGCTCAACATGCGTAGGTGTAGGCCCAAATTCCCTTCCAAACCATGAGTACCTATATCATCATAGTCAAAATGTGTATCCTGGTAATATTTTTCTTCCTCCTCTTCATTTATCATCTCTTCCTCCTCCTCCACCTCCTCCTCCTCTCGAAACCCTCTGTCTGGTTCAACATTTTTGTCTGGTTCATCTTTTTTCTGTAATATACGGTCTACTTTAGAACTTAAGTCAGCCACAACGCCTAGTAGACGCTTCACTAATGCCTTTGTGCTCGTCTTTTTCTTCTTTACCAATCTTGATGTGTCGTTTGACATATAACTTGTTTCTATTTCAAGATGTTGCGAGGAAGAAGCATTTGTGGCAGATTCAGTCGAAGATGTTTCTATTTCAGACTTATACATCCTTCTTCGAGCAGGTGAGGCAACATCAGGTGGACTATTTAGGACATGACTATGTTGTCGTGGGGGAGACTCTACATGGTTAAGAGTCCAATTGACATAACGAACATAAAACGGCAACATCAGCTCCTCCGGGTTTGCCACGACATTAATAGGTTGGTTGTTAGGCTGCAAAAATCAGATTGTTAGTTTAACATGAAAATACATTGGAATTTGTAAATATAGATGATTGTTAATATACAAAGCATACCGCAGACACATTCATTATTCGACAACATTGAAGCCAATATAACGGTGTTTTACTTCTCCACGCCCTCATCCGTGTCAATTCTGTCGGCGTGCGTATATAAAACTTGGTTGCCTCTGGGAACGTCTCCAAAATCCATATCTATGAAAAAAATGTTAGTATCGTGCTATTATACTATAAAAGTCATGATACAAACTTATTATATAATACAAAACGAAGTTCAAATTTTTATAGTATAAAAAACTAAACAATGATAACTATTTAAATACATTAGAAAGTAACCTTAAACGGAAGCATAAAACCGACAATGGTATACTTGTGTACTTTCTTGGATTCGGGATTGGACTGCTTCAATACTCTAAACTCTTCTATTTTCTTAAACATTCCACGCATAAAACGCGAAGTATATTTCCAGAAATACGTACCCCATGCAAACCTGCAATTTTCAATTTATTTATTATAATTAGTGCATTGCATACTACTGCGGGAACACATGTTTTAAATGTAATACCTGTTCCAATCATCTATATTATCAGCAAGCTTGTATACTGCTGCAGGAATGTCCGTTTTAACGTCTCGTCCGTGTAGACCCTTCAACATAAAAACAAGCTGGATAAGCATCACATCATCTTCATCTTATAGTGCCAAATAATTCGGGGACATAATCAAGTCTTCTAAATCTTTCAGCCGAAAACGTGCATCAGAAATATCTGGGAACACACGGAGATTTGAATTTGACCGGCCCTTTTCGTCATGGAGTAAATCCACAAGTAAGGGATCACCATGTGGGATATGCATTCCTAAGAATATTCCAAAGGGGAAGCTTCGAATAATACTCGTTGTGATTGTGTTAGGCGTGGAAAATAGTCTTTAATGATAGTCCCCACCACGCCTTTCAAAGTTAAATCCGCTTTTTTATTGAGATCTTCGTGCTACAAAAAAAAATCTTATTTCATTTAAAACATTACTAATTGAAAATAAAAAACAAGGTTCCAAAATTACTTTTCTAATTCGGTTTATGAAATAAATAGCAACATACTTTTTATATATAACTAAATACACAAAAGAAAAGGGCAGCAAAAGCAGAAAAAAAAAATTGTGCAAAAACCATTTTTAATGTCATTCCGCGGAGGCCTCTCTGTGGAGTGACCTTCACCTCCGCGGAGACCTGCATTTCTTCGATTATAACATTCCGCGGAGGTAACACATCACTCCGTGGAGCACCCTCTGCGGACTGACGTACCCCTCCGCGGAATGGATCATCCCAAAAATCGTTCCTGTGATTTGTAAACCTAAAAATTCTAAAACTGTATACATATTCAATGTAATAAAATGAGTTTTCCTCTAATTTGAATCATATTCGACATTTTCGACATTAATAATTAGATGGGAATGTGAGAAATACCCGGGAACCGTATCCATCGGCCATAACATCGGGGAATTGGCGGTCCATCGGTGACGGATTTCAAGTGCTATATACTCGATTTCGCCGGATTTGAAGTCGTTTGACGGCGTATTCCGCCGGATTTGAAGTCGTTGCCGGATTTGAAGTCTTCGATGAACGACTATGCGAGGAGATGCGGAGTGACGAACACAAACGGGGACCAGTGGGGACCAAAAGAGGACTCCTTCGTTTTTCTCAAAAAAAAGGGTTGAAATTATGAAATTACCACCTCTACGCGGAGATTTCATGGTTCCGCGGAGGTCCGCGGAGGGTCCTCCGCGGAATGTATGTCTATAGCCGGAAAAATCTATTTTTATGACTAAAATTCAAAATTGACCCCCATTTTTTGTCTATTTGCGGTATTTTCCCTTTATTTAAACAAAAATATTTTAACATAAAAAGGAAAAAGAAAATAAATAACCACACCCTTTGGGCCCACATCTCTCCCTCTCTCTCTCTCTCTCTCCAAAACACCTATTGCTTAAGCTGTTATGCGATCCTTACACATGCAACCACCTCATTCCATCCAATGTTTTCTTGAAAAAAACAACCATGTCAAAAAATATATTGATAAACTTATTTTTGTGATTTTTGGTCGATAAAATTATCACAAGACTATGGTTGGATGTGTTGGTTGCAACCATGTCAAACCATCATCTTCATTCGGTGGTGCAGGATACCGGAGAGTGGCCGAAGCGGTGTTAGAGTGTGGTGTTCAGAGCTCTATTTTCCCTACCCCTATCCTCCCATGTCGAGTCTTCAGTTCTGACTCCAGCCTACTGCAACTAGATTAAAAGAACAACCCATGATTCCATATCCATAATCAATCTCCAAAGGTTCCAGACCCAAAAAAACCCATTAAAGAACACAAATTGAAGTATCTAAGAAATGCATACATGTATCTCCGCATCCAGTCTCCACCAGAAAATCACCCATGCTCGCCAGAAAATGCTTCCCACCTGTTTCTTCTTGTTATCTCCTCATCACTAGAATATTCCTAATCTCACCAAAGACTGATGACACATATGAATTTAATTATGAAAGAAATTGTCGTCGGAGGTGGGTTTCAATGAGAAAGGGAGTGGCGGAGCTGGAGGATTACGATGGAGGTAGGGTGCTAAGAGTTTCATCTTGGTTTTCTCTTCGTTTGGGTTTTCCCTTTTTGTTCTAATTCCTATTAGACATCCATTACCAGATTCCTGAAATCAAAGAGGGATGAACGATGAAAGAAAAATAGATAAGTGTGTGCTTTTGAAATCAAAAAGGGAACATACACAAGCATGGCTTGGTGTATACTTGTTCAATTAGAAGAAATAAAGAGAGATGGTTCATACACATTGTTTTGTTGTTTGTCTTTTGATCTCTACAGGAATAAAATAAAAGAGGTAATTGAAAAACCTAATGGAGATCTAGTACTAGATTCCTGATAAAATTGATTTTGACTTTATTAAATCAATATCTTTATATGATTTAAGGAATGGAAGTTAAACATGCTCAAAAGGAAAATTCATTAGAAAAGGAGTGATGAAATTGGTTGATTTTCAAAGAGAGAGAGAGAGAGAGAGAGAGAGAGAGAGAGAGAGAGAGAGAGATGTGGACCCACGGGTGAGGTTATTTATTTTCTTTTTTCTTTTTATGTTAAAATAATTTTTTGTATAAAAAATATAAGATAAAATAAAAAGGGTATGAAAGTCTTTTTAGGTGTGACATGGATCAACCATGATAGAAGATAGAAACCACATTGACTTTCTATGAATGACTTTTATGAAGTTTTTTAAAGTTAGGGACTATATCCAAAGTTCTAGAAACTATAGGGACCATTTATGAAGTTTTGTCTATACTGAATTAATTAGAAAACCATGGGGACCAACCACATAGTTTTGTCTTATTATTATGGTTATTTTTGTTTTCAATCTATTTTTTACTGGAAACAGTTGGACGAAATTAAAAGTAAAATAAATAAAACAGAAGGGATTGTTGGCCACATGCAACGTGCTAGACCCTTATTAAGCATCTCATATTTTTCATTCAACGACGTATATGTCATTTCACAACCTTCGCTAACTATTCGTATGAATAATATATATGAATACTCTCCCGTTGCTCCACTTCTATCTACGCTTCATATCAAGAAAAATTCAACCAAAATCCTACGAGTAGAAAGACATACCAACAAACTGCAAGTTTGTACTTGTATGTGGTGGGAAATTGTGACTTTAATTAATCAATTCATAGTAGGTGTAAATATGTATGTACTACTAACTCATGTTGTATTGTCCATGGACCATGATGATTCATCGTTGTTTTTTTGTTGAATTGATAACCTTCTATGTGTTTTCAACCTATTAATTAGTTTTTGTGATCAAATGTGTATGCTTATGTTTATGTATCTGTTGATGATATATTTCTTTTTATCGTAATATTTGGTGATGAAGGTATGTTCTAGAGATGAGATAACAACTATAAACTCTACATAATCACTAAGAAAGGAAACATGAAATCAGATTGGAAATCAAACAGTCAAAACCTAGACATGTAACTAGAGATATTAGGGAATATATTATACCTCTAAGGCGAGGAGATGATAAAATAATGTTTGTATCTTCAAAGACTTCTCACTAGAGCTTCAATCCTCCATCATGGACGTAGAGATATTGCCACCAACACAACTCCATTCCTTTTTCTATAGACGTTTTGAATGATTTCAAAGAGGAAGGAGAACTAACTAGAATATATAATTTGTAATATTACATATCTATCCCTCAAGTTTCTCAAGTTATATAATTTACCCCTTTGTGACTAATTAATTGACTAACAACTTATATATTTCCATCATCAGTCCTTACCCATAAACTTACTAGCATTTTAAGTCCAATATGGTTAATTAAGTTAACTCTAGGTTACATCCCATCTTTCAAAAACTGACAACAAAAACCATTATAACAATATTTCTTTAATTTGGATAAAAAAATATCATAATTTTTTTTATCATCATAACTGTCTCTAGTATTTAATTAGTTAATTTCTTTTATTTCATCTTATTATTCAACTTATTTTATTTTAATCTTCCAAAAAAATTATTTTCACAAAAAATGACTAAAAATATAGGCCTAAAATCAAGATGTTACAATATGTTTCGATTTGGTTGAGGTCTTCGTTTATGTAGATGAAAAGAAAGGAAGTACCCACATACGCCCACCCTATTTGGATGATTGCATGGGTGATATTATTGACATCCTATATAAGAAGAGTTATGACTGGATAACTGCATGGACGAGTCCACCCTATTCGGATGATTGCATGGGTGATAGTATTGACATCCTTTATAAGAAGATTTATGATTCAATATTGTTTTCTCATCGAAATCTCATTTTTCGGATGGAGATAAAGTTTTGGGTACTTATATATAAGGATAATGATGATGACCGATTAGACTATGATGTAAGTTTTATATGTTTTTCTGTTATCATTATACAATAAATATTTAGTTGGGTTACTTAATCTCTTTATGCATGTGTTTATTGACAACACATTATTATTTAGGTATTCTCTATAAAACCCGCCCTTTTTATAAATCAAATTACTATGGTTTTAAAACATCTTCTGACATTTAAGTCAAGTTTATCCAAATCTGGTCCCATTTTTTTTTTCAGTTAAAAGTATCACTTTACAATGATTTATAAATTACGTAAAATGGGTGTTACAACCGATACTGATAAAACCATAGTAATGCAATGAATATACCGTCTCTATAAAAACTTCATACAACTTTTATACTGTAACGCCCCGATTCCCAGGTATCGTTTAAATAAGAATTTAATTTGTTTCAGGGCTTACTCGACGAGTCGGTTGCCCTACTCGTCGAGTAGCAACGGGTTGGATATGCGTGTTTAGTGACCTACTCGCCGAGTCCATAAGGGGACTCGACGAGTAGGAGCTGGCAGATGAAACCCTAAATCCCGGGGTTTTGCACCCTATTTAAGGGAGCCTCAGCCTCCTTTGGCCTCTTTACAGTCTTTGAGAGCTCAGTGAAACCCTAATTCGTGTGGTACTCTTCTTGGTGTGATTTAAGCCTTGGAAAGAAGGTTAGCTAGGAGGGAAAAGCTTGAAGAGCAAAGGAGTTGAAGCAAGGAAGGTGTGGGAAGCAGAATTTACCTCAGCTAGCATCTTCTGGAGGTATCAAGTTGCAATCTTTACTTCCCTTTCCTTCTAGATCTCTTTTCTTTTGGATGAGTTTTAGGGTTTTACGGATTTTGAGTTGATATGGGGAGCTATGGGCTAGATCTGAAGTTGTAACTTCAGATCTGGACCCTTCCTAAGTCCTAGAGTCATAAAGTTGCGGGTTTGGGGGTGATTGAGACCCTCCTTGTGCATGAAACCCCATTAAGAGCTTGGAATTGCCATTAAGAGCCTTTTTAGCCATGCATACACGTAAAGTTTGCAACTTTACGTGAAAAGCATGCTCTAGAAGCTTGGATCTGTAATTTGGAGCCATTACATGGCTTAAATGAGTCTGTATGGCTTAAGGACTGAAGGAACTCGGCGAGTCGAAAGGTTGACTCGGCGAGTCGTATGAAGATGGCCTTGAACTCGACGAGTTGGATGAACAACTCGGCGATTCTATTGAAGATTGCCTTGAAGTCGGCGAGTCGGCTAGGGTTTCTCCTAATTCTTGGACATGTATGAACTCGGCGGGTTAAAGGGGAACTCGACGAGCCAATCCAGGATTTCACGACTTCTCGAGTTCAGGAAGGACTCGACGAGTCGGTGAACTACACTCGATGAGTCGAGTCAACCTGGACTGTTGACTTTGACTATGGACTTTGACTTGGACCAAGGGTTGACCAGTTGACTTCTGAGAGTATTCTGGTAAATTGGAGATTTATAAAAAAGGGTTTTATGGTAACTATAGGTGGTGGAGTTCATATTGGTGATCCGGGAGTTGAGCTTTCTAGTTTCAGACGACAGTTGCAAGGTGAGTTATCCTCACTATACTAAGGGTCTAAGGCACCAAGGCCGGCCCATTGGATATGTTATCCTAGCCGTGTTAGATGTTGAGTATGAGTTAGTGTTACATGCTAGTGGTTATGCCAGTTAGGTAGACCTGTAGGACTACCTGTGATGTTAGATGATTATTGCATGCTCAGTGGTTATGTTATGTGTTTGTTATATGGGATGGGTTGAGGTTGTACTGCTTCGTGCGGTGGCCAACAAACCCTAGGAGCATTCCAATTACGGGCTAAGAGAG